CATACTATTTTAAACTTTATTCTAACTTTTATTTTGCGTTTTCAGGATTGCATACAGTGAACAATCTTGTACAGTACGTCATTTGCAGTGGATGTACAGATGTTGACTAGGCCAATTTCCTTTTGCAGATAAGTTATGATCTTAATCCTGAGAATATGCTACTGTAATATAAACCTTTTGATTTTTTTTCTATGAATGTATACAAGATGCTATTTGATTTTTACTTAATAAATCATTACGTTGTCTTAGTGTGTGTCCAGTCCTTCTGTCGTATGATATGGTATCTTGTGTAAGATAAAGGGTCAGAGGTAGAATAACTATGTATGTCTGCACAGATGTTTGTACAACAGCAACAAAGCCCTAATATCATCCTTGCATACCTTGCTGTGTTTTGCATGTGCAGCAGTAGCGCGTCTGCTGCATGCCAGTAATTCCTACCTTTGGCTCTAGGATTTTGACTTGGCCTAGGCTGACAGCTGCGTCCCCGTCTGCTTCATGTCCCTGTGGCCTCCCCTTGCATTGTACCACTGCTGTAATGCTACACCAGCCAGCCTGCACTAAAATAACACCTTTTGTTGGAAAAGGTTTATGATTTCACATCAGCTTAATGTCAGAACAGTTGGAGGTTCAAACTCCACAACCAGTTGACTTGAGGAATTCTTCACAGCCGATCTTTTCATTATAGAGTCAGTAAAATCAGGTTGCCTGCTCCATCCCCAGTGACATTTTGTGCTGTTCTGAGACATCTCTGTGGTTCAAATCTGATTGACCTGGTCAGGGGAATCCACATGACAGGATAAATATACCAAGGTAAGCTTTTATGTAGACATCTCAGCAGACAAATGGTCCTGATGAGATTTAGAAAAGAATTACAGCATGCTAATTGAGTTATGTGGTCGCATCCAGCCTCAAACAGCTCAGCTGCAAGGCTGGCTGGCTGGCTGGCTGCCATTCCCCAACCCGTATCACCGTGCCTCATCTCCAGGCACAGACTCAGCTCTGAGGGGCTTCATCAAAACTAAAAACCTATTGCCATAACTGAGTAAACATCAAGATTTCACTGTGCTCTGACGATTTTGTCTGACACACTACTTTTCACAGAGATACTGACAGCATCTCTTTTCTCACTTGGTTTTCCACTTCTCAGTCTACTCAGCTCTGAAAGCACCGATAGCATCTCAGTTACTGTCTAGATCCTGCTCAAAGCAGACAGGGAGCAAAGCCGCTGGCAAACCTCAGAGTTTAAAGCTGCACGAAAGACAGTGATTTAAAATGTCATTTTATTTTCTAATATTTAGAAATTTTTTCCACAACTACTATATAAATCATATCAGAATGAAACAAAATGAACTTTCACTATTGCAATCAATACATTTCAAAATGCCTTAACAGTACGTTACCACATGCATGTCTTTGTTTCAGCATTGTTGTGCATACACAGTACAGGATACAGCACAGGCCACAGTCAATGTTTTTCAGCTTTGTGCACGGCCCAATTCATCACTATCGGGTGTGTCATACACATTGTACTCACTGTCGCTACACTTGCCTTTTGTTAAGACACCTGCTATGCTGATGAATGTCATAATTTACAGAATGATGTTTGACACAATGGAAGTGTTTAACACTCATTAGCACAGTATCACAAGCATGCAGACAACTATACAACAGTTTATCTTGCGATTGCTTTTACAGAAGAATCGCTTTGTAACACCTGACTACATCTAAGTATGGCTGAGAAAAGGTCTCCCTTGGCACTGCGACTTGTACAGTAGCTTATGGAACATGTCAGCTTATATCGACAGTTTCCTCGCTGGTGCCCAACGCACAGCGGACTACATCTACACTAAGTTTACTGCTGAGTTTCTCTGTTGCTGTATATAGTGTAAGACAAAGACTGAATAGAGAGGTATTAGAGTAAATACAGTAATGATCATAGAACAGACTGGAATTGAAATTCCTCCCCCTTTAGCAGCTACAGACTATCCCAGCCTTTTCTGTGCAGTGAGAAAATTAAGAACATAACAGTTTCAAGCCTTCACAAACAGTAGATTTAGTTTCTCATCGAAGCACAGGGAAGCAACTGGATCAAACCTACCGGAGTGCACGTTTTACCTGTGTGCCTCAGTGTACAGTCACTGTCATTTAGAGATTAGTGGAGGACGCCTGTTCCAGCAGTGTGGAGCTACATTACCTGTTGGTTCCTGAGAAGTTTTTGAATTTCTGAAACCTTGTCCAGACTCTGGATGTCCCTGTCAAGTAGGCAGTACCACCACAAGCTAATAAAGTGAAGTCAGCCTTTGAAGAGTCCCAGGAGCTGGGAGACTTCAAGTGTGGCCTCCTGGTATAACAGTCTCACTGAAATATTACAAGTGCATAATTCAGGCACCATATCCACTTGTAGCGCCATCCCTAACCTACACGTTGACCTTAATGCTTGTCTGGTTTTATCAATACAAATGAAACTGATGTGATAGTGAAAGTATACAGTACGAATCTTGTTGTGGCAATAATACAAAGGCTACATGACTGAGTAACAGCTGGGATTAGTAATCAAAGCCTCATGCAAATGTTGTGCACTGTCACTTATGCTGCAGAAGAGTACCCGGGGCTGCGGATCTGGTTGTCCTACTGGCTCTCTTAACAGTTTCTGGGTAAATTGGGTAATTAATACAGCCCAGGCCCAGCTCCTCTGCAGCATCTCTTACTGGCACTTAAGTCTTTGCATGGCTGTCACGCAGCTGTTCCAGTCCAGTCGGGCGTGGTGATGAGGCCAATCCTAAGTCGTCCTGTGCATTTCATATGTGTAGGTGAAGGTTTCCATTGACTGACTCTTAGGAGCTACGTGGCATTTCAGCAGCAGTACAGACGAATTATATGTTCTTTTAAATCATCGCCTTCCTCTTCCTCCAGAGTCTCTTGCTTGGAGCTTTTTTTTTTTTTTTTTTTTTTTTTTTTTTTTTTTCTTTGCATATTCCTGGTATCTGCGAAGCAAACAACGCACAGAAGATCCTGCTGCATTGCCCAGCTTCCTTCTCATGTGAAGTACTTGCAGTTTGTGGAGTCAATAACACAGTATGGTGTGCACTTAAGGTGGCCATATGACCTGCAAATAAGTTAAATGCCTGTAAGACTATTTTAACCCAACATTTTTTAATCAAGCAAAAAGTTTTTCCATCTACTGGAAATGTATACTGTGCTTACCCTGGAAGATATGAATTACATGTCTGGTATCCAAAGTCTTTTCCATCACACTCCTCCACTCCCTCATAGCGGTATCCATCTCCACAGTAGGCATGTTTACACTCTGTAATACAGGCATATATCAGGAGTCATGTTTTATGTGCACAGTGAAGGACAACTTATGAACTATTAATGACTACCTACTGTAACACGGACAGGTGACTTACTGACGCATGCGTCAGTGACGACTCCGTTCCCGTCATCACACTCCTCCCCACGGGAAATCTGCCATATCCCATCACCACAGTAGCCATCATCAGGTGCATTTTCCATGGACTGGAATGGACTCATCTGGAATGGAAAAGTCTTTTACAGAGTTAAAAAAAAAAAAAAACTCAGTGTAAAATTAAGAAAAAAGGATTCAATTCTGCTGCATGCAGAATACCTGGATGGGCAGCCAACCATCAGTGTCTTTGAAATAAAGAGATCTCTGGTCTTTGCGGAATGCGAGAGCGTTATCTGTGCGAAGGCGCTCCAGCTCTTCATCACTGTTCACAATGAATATCTGAATGAAAGGCAAAGTGAAGACATCCACTGACACACTTTCAGTATTTAGTGATTTTGAATCATAAGGTCACATTGGAGGTTTTGACTATCAAAATTTAATATGCCAACATGTGTCTCAAAGCAATATCCATCTGTCCACTAAGCGCACGTTGATCTTTTAATATTTATTTTCAAATAATTTATGCAAAGTTTATTCAACCCCAATAGCCTGAGGGTTTCTAAAACAGCATCTAGCATAATATCAGATATTTTAAAGATGTGCACTTTAGAGGTGTCACAGTACACCAGTATTAACCATAACTGTGATATTTTTACAAATTAAATACTGACATCATAATAATACACATATGATAATATCGCAAATAATCTAGAGCCAGAATCAGTCTGGTTGATGCTTTAACTAAGTAGGTGGCGGCATTGCACCTTAAAGTTGGTTGCCACCCAACAAGGAAAAGAGAAGAAGACGACCATCACACAGTAACTACTAAACTAGTGTTTCAGTATATTTTTAATAAGTCTCTCCAGACACAATATGTACCTAGGCTCTGGAAGGATGCTGTTGTTGTCCCTGTTCCTAAATCCAGCTGTCCTGCAACTCAGAATGATTTTAGACCAGTCGCTCTGACTTCAGTTTTAATGAAGATTTTTGAGAGGCTGGTCAGATCGGAGGTCCTGAGGCAGACTGAACATGCACTGGATCCTTTGCAGTTTGCATATAGGCCTCACAGAGGAGTGGAGGATGCCACAATTACTCTGCTCAATATGCTTTTTAGACATCTGGATCAAAGTGGGACACACGCCAGACTTTTACAGGTGGATTTTTCTTCTGCTTTTAATACAATACAGCCTCACATTTTAATTGAAAGGCTTCTACAACAATTTGATTTGAGTAATAATCTGGTAGGTTGGATTTTGGATTTTTTAATCAACAGGACACAGAGAGTAAGGGTCAATGGCATATTATCTGACCAGAGGGGTTCTTCCACTGGTTCTCCTCAAGGGTGTGTGTTGTCACCTGTACTTTTTATTCTCTACACAAATATGTGTCAGAGTAGATGTGACAATAGAACTATTATAAAGTATGCCGATGACTCAGTTATTGTTAGTCTCCTCAGTGATGGTGAAAGTAGCCATGGTTCAGTCATTGAGGATTTTGTCCATTGGTGTGAGGAATCCTATCTGCAACTAAATACAACAAAAA